GGTGGGCATTAAACAGGACACTTGTGATAAGCACTGTAAGTGATGAATCATTAAATTCTACAACTGAAACTAATATTACACTGTATGTTTACTAACTGGAATTTAAATAAAAATTTGTAGAAAGAAAAAAAAGGGGGGTTGTGGGAATGAACAAAATAATTTAAAATACCACATATAGCAAGAGCCCAACTAGCCTACAAAATTTTTTATTAAAGCACTATTGGCATACAATATCTATTAGCTTAAGCTGTATAGTCATTTTTTATCTTTGTACATTATAAGATAATGCCCACAATAAGTCTAGTTACCACCTGTCACCAAAGTTATTACACTATTATTGACTATACACCCTATGCTTTACGTTACATCCCCATGACTTGTTTATTTTATTACTGGAAGTTTGTACCCCTCCTTTACATTTATTTTTTTAATGTAATCTCCTTTACATTTATTTTTTTTTAAATGAAGGGAAGGATTTGCCTTTCTAGGTAGCACTTAGAACTACTGTCGCATTTTAAAATTTTTAACAATTTAGTCATTGTAAATTGTTGCTTCACTGTGGTTTGATTTTCACTTCCCTGATTAAAAATTAGGTTGAGTACCTTTTTCAGATTTCCTCTTCTGTCAAGTGCCTACTGACATCTGTCTGGTCAACAAGTAACAGACTCGGGGGCTTAAACAGTACTTGGGCTGCTACAACAAGTAATAGACTCGGGGGCTTAAACAACAAATATTTCTTTCTCACAGTTCTGGAAGCCAGAAGTCTGAGCTCAGGGTGCCAGCATGGTTGAATTCTCTGTGAATGCCCTCTTTCTGGTTTAGAGATGGCTGCTTTCTTCCTGCATCCCCACATTATAGAAAGAGAGCTCTAGTTCCTTCATCCCTTTATAAAGGTACCAATGCCATCATGGGGCTCCACCTTCATAACCTCATTTGAACTCAATTACCTCCCCAAGGCCCCATCTCCATCTGTCATCACATTCGAGATCCAACATGAATTCGGGGAGCTGGGGGGAGGGCGAAAAAGTAGTCCATAGCAATGCCTTCTGCCCATTTTTCCTATTGTCTTTTACCTATTAATTTATAGTTCTTTATGTTTTCTGGCATTAATCCTTTATTAGTACAGATCTCAGTCTCAGTAACAGACCCCAGGACAGACCTAACCCTAAAGTGAAAATTAAAAAGAGGGGAAAAGAAGGGGACTGGGAAAGAAAAAGCAGCTCCTGTCTGCTCTCCCTGGGGAGCTGGCCTTGCTTCTGAGGGCCAGGCCATGCCACTCTCTTATCATACAGAAACCAATGTCACATAGCACTGATATTAGTTGCCATTGCAAGAGTGTAATAAAGCACAACAAAACCACCTAATCATCATATCTTGACAGAACTCAAAAGAATAACCCGTAATATACCAACTGCAAGTTTCTTTTTCCTCATCGTTCCAAATCTCAGCTCTCAAAACCACCTGCTTGGTTAGACACTGATCTTAGATCATAAGCTTCCTGCTATTGCTGCAGCAGCAGTACCATGAATAAAGCTTTCCTTCTTTTTTCCAACCCAATCCAAGAATTTCCCCAAAGGTTCAGTTCCATGGATGTTTATCATATTACTTTATATTATAATAATATTTTTAAAAGAACTACCCTAACTGACCAACAAGAAGAGACTGACTATGCAGATAATTGTGCACTCATACAATGAAGTATCATTTAGGTTTTAAAAACTGTTGGGTAAATATGTGTTTATTAAAAAGGCATGTTTACAAAGGAATGTGTTCATTTTTATTTTAAAAATAAATTTGTATTAAAACTTCCGCTTCTGCCTAAAACGTAGAAAGCTGGTATAAGCATCACCCATACACTAACAACATGTAAAAGTTGAAAACTGCAAAATAAAAACCAATAAAAAAAAATCCACTGGAGAGCTGTGGCTGCAGGACAACCAAGTAGTCTGAAGTCTAAGGAAAGACAGACGCCTCCAAGGAGAGACAGGTCACCAACACGAGTTCACTTGTAGCAGCTAATGGGAGAAAGAGATGCCAGACACCATACAAGTGTAAAAGAAGTATTCAGATTTAAAAAAAAAAAACTTGATGTATTCCTGAAGGCTGAATGTGGCCTAATGTGACAATTTAAAATTCCGGGAAGCCACAGATAAAAGGGTTTTGCAACACTCTTGCAGACTCAACAGGCCTCCAATAGGTGCTCATTAAAAAACAAAAAATAAAGGAAACAGAGTAGGAAATGGAAGGAATCTTTCCCTCAGTGGTACAGGCTCGGAGGAGAAGAGTTACTACCACTGCAGAAAATGTATAAAGCCGTTACTTGGACCTACACCTCCGCATTGAAGAAACGTCTTCATTTGCAGGCGGAACAGCAGCAAACCCCACTGTGCACAGGTGAAGAATCACCGCCTCTGGGACAGGCAAAAGAAAAACACTCCACTCCTGGAGGAAGGGCAGGAAACAGTCTTAAGCTCAGGATCCTAAACCAATACTATAGTAAGTCTCTCACCACTAAGGAAACCCCCTCCGACAGGAAACCTCCTCCCACAGTAAACCTGCCAAAAATATAAAGCAGAGTTTGAATGCCATAATGAGGAGAGGCAGCATCACTGACAAAGCCCCTCCACTGACAACCAGGAACAGAGAACTTGCCTAAGGCCGAGACTGGACTACGACCACAAAACACTACCTGCCCTCCTCTCCAGGCCAGCCAGCACCAGGCTACCTACCACTAGAGCAGGGCCATGAGTGTAGGGAAGAGCACTTCTGAAGCACAGGTACATGGGGAAGGCCTGAAGCTAAGGATGGAACAGGAATGAGAAGGGAAACTCCAGCATTGCAGTTGCCACCCTAAGTACAATTCAAATCTTGAGAAAGATTTAAATTTTCAGTTAATAGTTCACTGTAGGTCATGACACCAACACAAAAGCAAAGTCCAGCTCATGTCCTAAACACACTAACTCAAGTACCTATACTAATGGCCTAACGGGGAATAGGCATAAATCCCATTTATCTCAATCTCTACTCTTCTACACCCGACATCAACACTCTATCAAAATTTACAAGATATACAAGAAGCAGCAACAATAACAAAATCACTGTCAAAAGAACAAGGCAATCTACAGAAAAAAAAAACAAACTTAGAAATGACCCATGTGTTAGAATCATAAGAGAGGGAATTCTAAATAACTATAATTAATATGTGAAAGCTGTATGGAAAAGGTGAACAAAGTACATGAGCAGATAAGGAATTTGAACAGAGAAGGAAACTATAAGATAAAGTCAAAACCTTTGTGAGAGCTAAAGTATGCTTTCAAATGGGTTCATCAGGAGTAGACTAACACAGCTGAGGAAAGAGGCAATAAACTTGAAGATGAGTTGATAAAAATTACCTTAACTGAAACTCTAAGAGAAAAAATAGGAGGAAAAAAGGTAAAAAGCATATTTGTACAGCCCCTCTGGAAAACAATTTGTCAATTATATACACTTACAATTTCAAAATCCCAATCATAGATACATGTACCTTAAAGAAATGAAAATGTAGCTTTACACAAGACCAGTACGTGAAAGTTTGTAGTGTTTTTTATCCATAATTGTTAAAATGTGGAAACACCCAACTGTGCCTCAACTGGTGAGTGGATAAACAAACTGGTGTAGCCATACATTGGAATACTATTCAGAAAAAAAAAATTAAATACCAATAAAAGCAATGGTGTACATGAATATCAATAGCATTACAAAAAAAACTGTACTCAAAAGGCAACATATTTATGATTCTGTTTATGCAACACTTTGGAAAAGAAAACTAACAAGAATGAAAAGAGATTACTGGTTGTCAGGTGCTTGTGTTGGGTCAGGGGAAGACTCAAAACAGTACAAGAGAAATTTAAAGGGTGAAGGAAATGCACTATATGCTGACGGTGGTGGTAGACCTTTTGTCTAACCTTACAGAACTGTATGCTGATTTTCTCATTAACTATTTTTGTGTCAGATCTGTATTTTAATAATTACATAAGTGTGAGATTGCCTTCAGTAGATTTGACATTTTCCAACTTTAAAAAAGTCATTAGACAAGATGATTCTGGCACTTGATCTAAGGTTGAGATGAGTGATCTCTATAGTCCTCTCTAGCTCCAAGGTTTTTGAGGTATGGGATTCCCCAATCTCACACAAAAATTTTACATATATATAAATTTATATGTTTTTATAATTTTTATAACTTTATATGTAAATCTATGTATGTTCATGGTTATATTTATGTTTATATTATATAAAATGTAAATACATATACACAAAAATTTTGACTATCTTCAGTATTATGATTTATTTTTTATAAAATTTGTATTTTATTTTTTCCTCATAATATACCCTATGTGTAATCCAAAAAAAAGTTATTATTTTACTTACAAAGTATATATACTGTGCAACAAATTAAAATTTAAAAAATGAGGAAGCAGGTCATGTGCAAGTCTACACAAATCTATAATTCCTAGTATAAGAAAATATAAATAGCTCATTTTATTAAATTGACATGTTTGGATTGCAAGCATAATTCATTCTAAGTCTATTAGAATGGAAACATGCTTGTAATCCAAAGCACTTGTATAACAAAGCAAATTTCAAGAATTATTAGCTCAGTTGTGATCATGTGACATTCGGCATCACATATTACTTGTATTGTAAGACATCGCTCATTTTTCAAGTTAAAATTTATTAGAAACGTTTGCTTGTCTTGCTGAGGACTCTCAAAACAAGTTACTCACAATCCAAGGTTTTACTGTAAATTAAAGTATTTAAAGAAAGGGAGAGATTTGCCCTTATGAAGGTGAGGTGTGGAGCATTTTCTTCATTCTTAAAAAAATCCTAGGAAATCATGTTTGCTCCATCTAAAACAGTTTTTCCTAGCTCTTTCCCACATTTATATTAGAAATTTCTTGGTTCATACCTCTGAAATATAGCTTCTTCAAGAATGTGATAATAAAAAGAGGATGAAGTCATACCGTGGAGCTGAGGAGGGACAGTCTGGGATGGCCCTGCAAGTTCTTCATCCTCACTGCTCCACTTGTCTCTTAGGAAGCCACTGGTGGCCCATATGCTTGGGTCACTGTCACTAGAAAAGAAATATATTTCGCTGTTCATGGTTTCAAACAATGTATACATTTCTTAAAGAATCTCTGATAATCTATATTAGTTATTCAGTTGACATTCATCTTTATTTAAGTTTAGCCACGTACTTCTGTTGTAAGCACCCAGAATTGGCCCACTTCAAAAGGGATCACTCTGAAGTCCCAATGTCTGATCACAAACTCCATCTCTTCCCACATTTATCTGGCTTGCAAACTAGCCATCTTGGATCAATCTACCTACGCCCCTTCTTTCCTCCTTTACCCAGGCTGTGAGAGACAAGTACTGAGGTCACTGGGATTTCTGATATCAGCACAGAGCCATGTGGAAAATACTGTGATGTATGTCCCTGTTGAGTCTCCTCTACTTTTCTTCCATGACAGCTAATTCTGAACCACCGCCCTCATTTAGACCCTATCTTAATTCTCTGCCTTAGTATAAACAGAGCCCCTTCTGGAAAATGCAAGCCAGGAAGCAAGAATTCGTTCAACTAATTCTCTTTTAAAATGTGTACTTATGGGGCACCTGGGTGGCTCAGTCAGTTAAGTGTCTGACTTCAGCTCAGGTCATGGTCTTGTGGTTTGTGAGTTCGAGCCCCACATCAGACTCCGCACTACCAGCGCAGAGCCTGCTTCTGATCCTCTCTCTCTCTCTCTCTCTCTCTCTCTCTCCCTCTCAAAAAATAAACATTTTAAAAAATAAAATGGGTACTTAGATACATCAATATGTTTCATTATTCTTTACTTTCTCCCTGATCACAATTAATCCTTCCACATTCAACTCCACACCTTCTATCTCCTAAGTCTTTTCTTTGAAATGACATTTTCATATATATATAATTAATCTCTCCCTATGTACAAATTCTGCCATAACATAAGAATACTCAATTCTCCCTAATCTTAAAAATAGAAACTCTTTTCACCCATAGCTAATATCATCCTCAATGGGGAAAAACTGACAGCTTTACCCACAAGGTCAGGAACATGACAGGGATGTCCATTCTCACCACTGTTGTTCAACAGAGTGTTGGAAGTCTTAGCCTCAGCAATCAGATAACAAAAAGAAATAAAAGGCAACGAAATCAGCAAGGAAGAAGTCAAACTTTCATTCTTCACAGATGACATGATACTCTATGTGGAAAACTCGAAAGACTCCACCAAAAAACTGCTAGAGCTGATATATGAACTTAGCAAAGTCACAGGATATAAAATCAACATTCAGAAATCAGCTGCATTTCTATACACCAATAATGGAGCAGCAGAAAGAGAAATCAAGGAATTGATCCTATTTACAATTGCACCAAAAACCATTAAATACCTAAGAATAAACCTAACCAAAGAGGTGAAAAATCTATACACTGAAAACCATAAAAAGCTTATGAAAGAAATTGTAGAAGACACACACACACACAAAAAGGGTAAAGATTCCATGCTCCTGGGTAGGAAGAACAAATATTGTTAAAATGTCGATACTACCCAAAACAATCTACACATTCAATGCAATCCCTATCAAAATTACACCAGCATTCTTCACAGAGCTACAACAATTCTAAAATCTGTATGGAACCAGAAAAGACCCCAAATAGCAAAAGTAATGTTGAAAAAGAAAACCAAAGCTGGAGGCATCACAATTCCAGACCTCATACTGTATTACAAAGCTGTAATCATCAAGATAGTATGGTACTGGCACAGAAACAGACACATAGATCAATAGAACAGAATAGAAAACCCAGAAATGTACCCACAAACATATGGCCAACTAATCTTTGACAAAGCAGGAAAGAATATCTAATGGAAAGAAGAGTCTCTTCAGCAAATAGTGTTGGGAAAACTGGACAGTGACCTGTAGAAGAATGAACCTGGACCACTTTCTTACACCATATACAAACAATAAACTCAAAATGGATGAAAGACCTAAATGTAAGACAGGAAACCATCAAAATCCTAGAAGAGAAAACAGGCAACAACCCTTTTGACCTTGGCCACAGCAACTTCCTACTAGACATATCTCCAGGAGCAAGGGAAACAAAGGCAAAAATGAACTATCAGGACCTCATCAAGAGAAAAAGCTTCTGCACAGGAAAGGAAACAATCAACAAAACTAAAAGGCAACTGATGGAATGGGAGAAGATACTTGCAAATGACATATCGGATAAAGGGTTAGTATCCAAAATCTATAAAGAACTTATCAAACTCAACACCCAAGGGGCACCTGGATGGCTCAATCGGTTAAACATCCAAATTCAGCTCGGGTCATGATCTCGCGGTTCATGAGTTCAAGCCCTGCGTTGGGCTCTGTGATGACAACTCAGAGCTTGGAGACTACTTCAGATTCTGTGTGTCCTTCTCTCTCTTCCCCTTCCCCACTCGTGCTCTATCTCTGTCTCTCAAAAATAAATAAATAAATGTAAAAAAATTAAAAAAAAATTCAACACCCCCAAAAAAATAATCCAGTGAAGAAATGGGCAGAAGATAGGAACAGACACTTTCCCAAAGAAGACATCCAGATGGCTAAGAGACACATGAAAAGATGCTCAACACCATTCATCATCAGGGAAACACAAATCAAAACAATGATGAGATACCACTTCACACCAGTCAGAATTCCTAAAATTAACAACTCAGGAAATAACAGATATTGGAGAGGATGTGGAGAAAGGGGAACACTTTTGCACTACTGGTGGGAATGCAAACTGGTTCAGCCACTCTGGAAAACAATATAGATATTCCTCAAAAAATTAAAAATAAAGCAACCCTGTGACTCAGCAATTGCACTACTAGGTATTTATCCATAGGATACCAAAATGCTGACTCAAAGGTGCACCTGCACCCCTATGTTTAAAGCAACCCTATCAACAACAGCCAAATTATGGAAAGAGCCCAAATGTCCATTGACTGACAAATGGATAAAGAAAATATTATACACACACACACACACACACACACACACACACACACACAATGGAATATTACTCAGCAATCAAAAAGAATGAAATCTCGTCATTTGCCACAATGTGGATAGAACTAGAATGTATTATGCTAAGTGAAATAATATGTAAGTGACGAATCACTAAATTCTACTACTGAAACCATTATTACACTATATGTTAACTAACTTTGATTTACATAAAATTTTTTTTAAAAAAGAGAAAAAAGCTGTGTGTATATATATATATATATATATATATATATATATATATACAATGGAATATTACTCAGCCATCAAAAGTAATGAATCTTGCCACCTGTAATGACCTGGATGGAGATGCAGTATGTTCGTTATGCTAAGCAAAATAAATCAGTCAGGGAAAGATAAATACAATAGAATACCACTCATATTGTGGAATTTAAGAAGCAAAACAGATGAACATATTGGATGGGGGGAAAAAGAGGGAAACAAATCATAAGGGTCTCATTACAAAAGAAAACAAACTGAGGGTTGATGGAGGGAAGTGGGTGGGGGATGGGCTAAATGGATGACGGGTATTAAGGAGGGCACTTGTCATTATATGTATGTCATATGTTTACATATATTGAACATTGTGTGTTATATGTAAGTGATGAATCACTCAATTCTACCACTAAAAACAATATTACAGTATATTTTAACTAACTAGAATTCCAATAAAAATTGGAAAAAAATAGAAACCCTTTTCAACCTCCTATCTCAAACAGATTTTTCAAATACTAGCCATACCCATTTTCTGTTCCTTTCCAGCTTCTTACTACTCCCTTTACTTGTGCTTTCATTCATAGCCCCATTTAACAAAAGCCTCCTAATTTGACTTCTGGTTCTAATCTCTGATGTCTAAAGACAACTGTTCCTAAATTCAAATTTAATTATGCCTGCCCATCACCTTCAAGATAAACCCAGGCTTCTTACATAAGTTTAAGACACTGGCAATCTGGCCCCAGCCAATCTGTGCGTCATCCCTACTAATCTCCTTTATGTATCTTATGTTTTAATCTTAACAAAAAAAAAATGCCTTTTTCTTTTGCTTCTGGAAGTGATTTAAAGTTTCTTACTCTTTCTCCTTCTCATCTTTTTTAAGATTACTGTAAATATCTAATTGCTCCCCACTTCTTGCCACCTATCATCCACCTGACGACCAGCAATCCTCTTTTTCTAGATAAACAGACAGACATATACATGGATACAGCAAAAAAAAAAAAAAAAAAAAAAGTCCCTGTACTTTCTTTTCATTCCAACAAATGGACTAAAATATGTACTCCTTGATCTCACATATATCAACTTCCTTCACATTCTGGCCCACCTTACGTTTGGCTGTACCTCTTACCTTCTCAAGCTTCCTGGCATTCCAATTCACATGTACCCTACAACTCTTGACACATAACATTTATCACCATTAATAAGATATTTTCACAACTTCTTACCTTTGCTCAAACCTCTTCCTCCAGCTTGAAATTTTCTTCCTTTCCTTTTCTTTTTTATTTTTTTTTAACTTTTATTTATTTTTGAGAGACAGAGACAGAGCGCAAGTGGGGAAGGGGCAGAGAGAAAGGGAGACACAGAATCCAATGCAGGCTCCAGGCTCTGAGCTGTCAGCACAGAGTCCGATGTGGGACTCAAACCCACAAACTGTGAGATCATGACCTAAGTCGAAGTTGGACGCTTAACCGACTGAGCCACCCAGGCACCCCATCTTCCCTTCCTTTTCACCTGCTAGTTTCTACTTATTTAAGGTCCTAAATCCAACCTATGTATCTTTTCTTCAAAGAAGCTGGTGAAGCCCCCTATACATATTTATCTGTCTTCTATATTCACAATCCTTGGACTTTGACTCTATAGTAGTATTTACTACATTGTACTTAAATTTGTCTTTTACATATCTGTTTCCTTAATTAAACTATAAACTAGGGGTACCTGGGTGACTCAGTCAGTTAAGGATTTGACTTTGCCTCAGGTCATGATCTTATGGTTCACAGGTTTGAGCCCCGCATCGGGCTCTGTGCTGACAGCTCAGAGCCTGGAGCCTGCTTCAGATTCTATGTCTCCCTCTCTCTCTGCCCCTCCCCTGTTTTCACTCTGTATCTCTTTCAAAAATAAATAAACATTAAAAACAATTTTTAAAAACCTATAAAGGGCAAGAGCTGTGTAATATTTTGCAGTTGTGTACAGTGTTTAGTATATAATCAGTATCTAGTAAATTAATATAAACTATTAGATTATAATAGTATCTCAAAATGCCTTTTGAATTATTATTTGTTCACCTAACGCACTTTTGAAAGTTATATATGCAAGTTACCTATTATACACATTATTATGCAGTGCTATGCCACTAATATTAGTTATAAAACTCTAAGGAAATATGGCTCACTAAAATGTTCTCTTATTTGACATGATTTTGCATGTAACACCTAAATGTGAACAGTTTATAAGGATGAATATTATTTTTGTTTTGTTTTTCTAATGGAAATTTACTTTTCTTTTGGTTCCTTAAATTCTTTCATATATAGTACCAAAAATTCACCACGCTAACAATTCTATTGTTTCCAGCACATTATTTTCTTTCTGGAACCAAATATCATTTCTAGTAAAATTTAGTTGTGTACTGAGCTTTACCTTACTTCAAGTACGCTGTCCTCTCCAAAGTTCCAAACACCATGACTCTGGAAACGTACAATTGTTGAGATGACAGAGAAATTACATTGTTTAGGGATATCTTTTTCATCTGTTAATAGTATATTTATGAGATCATAAATACATCTTATTTCTAGCCAAATCAGGCTGTACTTACTACAAAGAGCTGTATCTTGAAAAACTAACCAAACATTTGAAGGCCATTATTCACTGTCTCCACTGAGAGAGCTAGCTATGAATATGAATAGAAAACTCACTAAATAAGCACATTATACCTTTCTGTAGCATCTTTTAAAATATCCTCATAATCATTTTGGGAACTCTGAGGAGAGAATTTTACCTCCTCTGAGCTATCTTCCTTTGCCAAAACCTACAGGAATAAGAAAGGAAAGAAAATTATGGCTATGATTTTAGGAATGTATAGTTTAAAAGAAATATGATTTCTATAGATTTTTTATTTTTTAATGTTTATTTATTTTTGAGAGAGAGAGAGAAAGCACAGGGGAGGGGCACAGAGAGGGGGAGACAGAGAATGTGAAGCAGGCTCCACACTATCAGTGCAAAGCCCAACATGGGGCTCGAACTCACAAACCACGAGATCATGACTTGAGCCAATGTCGGACACATAACCAACTGAGCCACCCAGGCACCCCCGATTTCTATAGCTTATTAAGAAGAGTGCTAAGGTATTTAATAACAGAATTAAAACCACAATCACAGTTTGATTTCTATTCCTATAAAATCACTTGAAATGTATTTCTCCCTATTAAATATTTTCCAAACTGTAAAAAGAGTATAAAGTACTATGCACACACAAATGATTTTTACTGAGTCACCCAAGTTATTTTACAAAAGTTGATAAAAATAAGCTTCATTTGTGATAAGAAAAAAAAAAGACTATCACTGTAGCCCAGTGAAGATTCTTATAATGAATGCTTATCACATTTAGTTTACATACAAAATTCTTAGCACTATATTTAGCTTTATTTTAATACTTATATAATCTAATCCAGTAATTAATTCTAAGTATGTTTCTGCCGTGAGATTTTCTTCTGCCCCCTAGACTTTTTTCCACTTTGTTGCATTCACAGAGTCCTGTATAGTAAAAAAATAATAATAACAAAAAAAATTGAGAGTAGAGGGGAAAAATCACATTAAATTAAAAATTCAATCAATATTTTAGCCCTCAATTCTGTTTCAATTAATCCATTCATTTGACAATTATTTTCTGAGGACCCAGTATGCACAGATAGTGGTCTAAGTGCTATGGATAAAACAGTGAACAAGAGAGGTATGTGTTCTGCCCTTGCAGAGCATATATACTCTCATGGGGAGAAAGAAAACACACAAGCAAACACATACAAATTACAGCTGGTGGTGTTACTGCAGTAACAGAGTATGGTGATACGTAACTGCCATGTACCTAAAAGGCAAAAGGAAGGGCTAAGCAAAGAGACAGGGAAGCATCCTGAGCGAAAGAAACAGCAGATCCCAGGTCCAGGCAGAGCCTCTGGCCTCTGCCTAACTGACCACCCTCACCTCATGCCTATTTCTCATGCAGCATCTCAAGTCACAGCCTATATGCCATGTCTTTTCATCTTTTCTCAAGTATCTTTGACGACTCTGATTGTGTAAAACTTATTAATCTTTCCCCGCTCGGAAGTATGTGTGTGTGTGTGCGTGTGCATGTGCGTGTGTGTGTTTTGCTTATTCCATGAAACTTTTTAGACCTGGAATACCTATTGTGGGCATATATGTAGCCATCATTCCAGAACATGGACTCAAACACAATCAATTTTAGAAACAAGCACGTTAATGGACAGATGTAAACAATTACCCAACACTGTTCTTACCAAGCATATTCATTTGGTTGAACAAATCAAAACATATAAGTTATTAGGTTTTTAATCTAATATGAATAAGGATTGCTTGAAATTAACTCATATTTTAGCAGTAGTTTTCTAAATATAGTAAATTCTAATGGATTAGCTAATTGTCATTTTGAATAATACATAAAACATAAAAAGTCTTTCCTTGTGGTGACACAAGTATAGCACAACATACAGAGTTGTTGAGTCATTATATTGGACACCAGAAACTAATGTAATACTGTGTGTCAAGTGTACTTAAATAAAAATAGGTAGATAAATAAATAAAAATTGAAATAAAAAGATAAAAAAGTCTTTCCCTATGCAAGAAAATCATCTACTCTCAAATACTTTTCCAAAATTTTTTAACATTTGCTTTTAATATTTGGGGACTTAATTCACCTAGAAACAATTTCGATGTGAAGTGTTCCTCACCCACTCTGCGCAACCACCAACAACGATCTTGCGTTCAACTGGACATTCACAAGATCCAGTAGGCCACACCTGGTACCAGATGAGCTTTGCAGAGGATACGGTGGAAAACCACAACATGTGAGCAGGACAGTCTTACGCTTGCCCTCATTAAGAGTCCTAGCAGCATTCTAGTGTAAGCTCGGTGTGAAGCAATGGGTGGGTGGGTACCTAAGTCCCCCTCCTTAGAAACCTCAAGCAGCACAGGAACCCATATCTCTTGTAAGAATGCATGAACCTAACCTAGGGCTCACTGCAAGGGGATTCCCACATTCATGCCATTAGTACTCTCATTAAGACATTTATTGTCCTAGTCATAATCCTCCCTGTCTGGGGATCATTTTTATCATAGCCAATGCCACCTGGTAATACAGCTGATAGTCCACTTTTACCAGGTTTCCAGAGAAACAGGGTGCTAGAAGGCTAACACAAGACCATTTTCTCATTGTGAAAAAGAAAAGGTTCATTCATCTTTACTCACAGGCAATAATGTCATTTTATTTTTCCTGTTGGAATAACCAATTATACCAGCACCATTAATTGAGCACACCATTCTAGAAATCTACAATGTCACATGAAAAGTTCCCATATGTGTATAGGTCTTTTCTAGAATTTCTATGCAGTTTCATGGGTCTTATTTGCCACTTCCTATACTGTTTTCACATTTCCTTAATTCCTACAGCGTTCTAATAGGCCTTGACACTCTGCAGTGCCAGTGGCTCTCTCCACCACATATATACTCTTGCTTTCTTTCCTAATACTGTCTTGCCTATCCTTGACCTTCTGTTTTCCCAAAAGCCTTTTGATCAGTTGATCAAACCTCAAATATACACTAACAAAACAAAACTTTGGAATTTTTACTGAAATTAAGTTAAATTCATTTCGTATTTAAATTAGAGATAACTGTTTTCTTTATTATATTAACTCCTCTTATCCATTAATATGATACAGCTATACATCAAAATATTTTTAAATATTCTCAGGAAAGGCAATTCATACCATTTATTAAATTGACTCTCACATACTTTATAGCTGTAAATATAATAGTATAATCCATTATGGTAGATAATTTGTATTTAATATTTGGTATACATATGCTAACTAATGCATAATGAGAAAATCACGTTTTTATATACTGTAATTTTATACTTATTCTATTATAAATATTTTAAATTTCCATTATGATTTCTTCTTTGACCCACGAGTTTTGAGTATGTCTTTAAATTCCAAATGCATATTTTTTCTATTTGTGGTTGATTTCTAAGTGAATTTCTTTATGTCAGAGATCACAGTCAGCGCTATAAACTTAAATATATAGTATTATTTGAAATTTGTTAAGATATATTTTGATTTGGTACATGGTAAATTTTTATAAATGGTCCATGTATGCTTGAAAAGAATATGGGTTCTCTAACTTCTGGATGCAAGTTCTATATATGTGTTCATTATATATATCTTGCTAAATTTTTTTGTTATTTCTCTACTCTTAACTATTATCTATTCTATTAATAAAGATATATTTTTAAATGGTCTACTCTCATAGTGAAATTATCAATTCTCACTTCTAATTCTGATTTACATATTCTGGTGCTTATAAATTTAGAATTTTATATCCTCCTTGTGAACTAAACCTTCCCGTATTATATAGTGGCCTCTAAAGCCTAATGTTTTTTGCTTTTAAGTTTGTTTGTCTGACATTACTATAGCTACATTACCTCTCTTTTGTTAGTGTTGCTCTGTGTATCAGGGGGAAAATGTTCCCCAAAGATTCCTTCTCATTAACCTATACAGATGACCATCGAATTAAATGAGTTCTACAGAGTTGGCTTAGTCCTGAAAGCTAGTTTATCAATGCTAATTGGTAAAACAAATCCCTAAGCATTAATTTCAGGATAATTAAAACAGGAATGTGAGGATGGAGAAAAAGGAGAACAATACTATTGCACCAACACAGTCCCTCTCTTCTTCCAACAAGACATGTTTAAAAAGCCATTTTCTTAGCACTTGCTCACTGAGAAAAAATGACACCACCTGAGTAAGAATTCCTACCATAATTTAAACCTGAGACATATTTCAAGTCACACTTCAAAATCAACTTGATTACATTTATCCAAGAAGCGAACTGTTTTAGATGGCTGCAATTCAAATTAAAGGCTCACTTAGGACTCTAATACATCTTTGATTGAATGAAATGTGATTTGGCCAGCAACGCCAAGAAGGTACAAGGAGAAATATACTAAATTACCAAGATGTCAGGTCTTTTCAGAGATTGCTCACTGAATCAAATTTGTGTCAAATTAAACAAAGGGCTAGATAAATTTTCACGAGGAGCCTAAGTTGGGTTTTTTGCACTGCATATGCCAAGGACATATGAGGACAAAGTGAAAGCAGTAATACTAGGAGACAGGAGCCTGGTTTCTAGTCTTTTCTCTGTGGTTGAAGAGCTGTATGATCACAGACAAATCATTTTAGCTCTCCAGGACTTAGGTTCTTCATGTCTAAAATGATTGCTGGAATAAAAATGATTTGACCTAGCTTCCAAATACAATCATCTACAAGTCTATGAGTCTAGATAATTCCTACAGACAGCATCATAACTCAAAGGGCATCAAGTGGCTGTAACATCAAATTAATTCATGAAATGTTAAAAGCTAATTCTGGTAAAATCAGCTGGTTTTCCCAACATACTCTAAAAACCATCCAGAAATGATCGCTAAGATACTCTTTTCTAAAATGAAACTTTAGGGGCGCCTGGGTGGCGCAGTCGGTTAAGTGTCCGACTTCAGCCAGGTCACGATCTCGCGGTCTGTGAGTTCGAGCCCTGTGTCAGGCTCTGGGCTGATGGCTCAGAGCCTGGAGCCTGTTTCCGATTCTGTGTCTCCCTCTCTCTCTGCCCCTCCCCTGTTCATGCTCTGTCTCTCTCTGTCCCAAAAATAAATAAACGTTGAAAAAAAAAATTTTAAATGAAACTTTAAAGGATATCAAAACTTATCCTAGATAGGTCAAGCCATAAAATATGGGGGTAAAAAAAAAAACAATAAAATGTATTTAGTTCTAGAAGGGAGTCAAGCATGGTTATAAAAACGATCTACTTGGGACATTCTATGAAGATGCTCATTCTGAAATTATCAGTCCTTCAAGTAGAAAATCCTTCTGATCAGAGAAAAGTATCAACAATGGAGCTGAGAGCCCAGCAGTACACTAAAAATTGGAGACTGCCAGTCAGATATGTGATCGTGGGTGGCCCTGATGCAGCCACCTTACATGTCACGGAGGAACGCACAGATTCTTACATGAGAGAACAATCAAACCATAGCACTGTTTTTCAAAGAGCAGCATGACTGTCAGCCCTTGGGTGGGGATGGCAACCAAACTGGAAAGTTAGGACAGCAATGTCTGTTCTTGGTACTTATTTTTATCTCTAATAATGCTGCAACTTACAGAATGTGAGTATGAGGACAGCAACATGGTAGAAGTCCCAAAGTTCCAGTAGATAAAAAAAACTGCAAGCTACCCACACGATGACAATGCATTTCACTTTTTGTGCTTTAATCCTGGCAGTTAACCTCCACAAGGGAGGAGACACATGTCAAGGTGAGAGTTTTTGCCCCAGATTTTTCCCAACTCTCTACCTTTCCATGGTTTGGAGATACTGCACCATGTCTCTATCAATTAAAAATTCCATCATCAATATACCTAAAAGTGCTTCAAATTTTATGTGGAATTTATTCTGTATCTCTATCAGTAGCACAAAATGAAATAGATGCCAAAATAAGTAAACTTTCCAGAATAGTATCAAAGGTTTTTTTTTTTTTTTTTTTTTTTTTTTTTTTAGAGTCACAAAGAGTTGCACTCTTTCAAATAGATATTTGGGTCATCTTCAACACCAGAATGAAATGGAACTGAGAATTATTATGCTGAGGAGAACAAAATAGACATCTATTCCTTAGAGGGCTTACTCAGTGATTTAGGCATTAGTCACAATCAATTAGCAGAGATTCCCTCGTCTAGTTTTACCTCACGAGTCACTGATCTAGGTGTCTGACTTGATGAAGGCAAACTCTCCCAGGAAATCACGTCTTTCAAATTAGAGTCCTCTCCCTCCATATCTTTTCCTGAACAAAGAGAAGGGAAGAATTGATCAAATGCAAAGGGCTACACAGAGAAAGGGTGTGCCTTAATGAGAAAAGCCAAGCTACATAAGGGGAATCTACTTTCTTGTTGTAGAGTCATCTCATCTTTATCTCCTGTATTAATCACTTTTCTCCCTGCGTTAAAAAAATAACAGAGCAAACATGATCCTTCTTCTAGGATCATTCTCAGTTCATTTAAGTTAATTTTTGAGCGGTCCCTTTGTTCCTACTTCCATATTATTTAAGAAAGTACTCTTCAAATAAATCCTAAATATACACAACTTACAGAACATATGTACTAGGTATTACAGAATATAATTCTTTCTTCAGGGTCTACTTCTGGGATAAAGAGCAGCGTGTTACATATGCCTCAATTTGACTTCTTGAATTATTAATCATAAATAAATAAGCAAAATGTTAATGTATATAGAAAATCATTTCAGGCTTTATTGAAGAATATAATATGAATCCTCCCTACGAAACTCTGTGCTGGTTTTATTATAGGAGCATTGTTAATTACTCTCTTTCACTGAACAGAGTATTTCAGAGAGGAACCAAAGGAAATATTTTTCTCTGATCTTAGAACTAAGATTTCAGAGTACTGTCCCCCATATCATAGCAGCCATAAATATTATGATTTAGAAATTTTGTGACATGGCTATTATAAAATTAATAGTATAAAATATAGTAAAAAATATAGTAAACAAGTACTTTGTAACAAAAAGTGCACTTGTGAATGTGTTAAAAAGAAAACCAAATAGAAATTGTGAACTATTAAAACACATGAGTTGATTTTATATATATATACATATGTATATATATATGTATCTATCTTAAGAAACATCAATGAAAAAACAACATATCAAAACTAATGTGAAAGTTAGCTAAAGCACTGTTTAAAGGGGAAATGTACAGTTTTAAATACATTTATAACAAAAACAGAAAAACTGACAAATATTAGGTTTATATGTAATCATAAAGACTAAGAAAAACTAAGGAAATCTCCAAAAAAAGTAGAAAGTAAGACATCATCAAGAAATACAGCAAATAGAAAATAATTTAAAACAATAGAACAATCAACAAAATCAAAGACTTGAAAAAAAGACTTAAAAATATGCAAACTTCTTTCACTACTCAATTTAATTAACATTAAGAAGGAAAAAGGGCACAGCCACAGACCCAACTATCACTTTTATTCATTTATTTGTTTGTTTGTTTATTTTTGACACAGACAGAGCGTGATCGGGGTAGGGGCAGTGGGAGAGACAGAGAGAGACAGAATCCAAAGCAGGCTCCAGGCTCTGAGCTGTCTGTCAGCACAGAGCCGGACTCAGGGCTCAAACCCACGAACTGGGAGATCATGACCTGACCTGAAGTCAGATGTTTAACTGACTGAGCCACCCAGGCACCCCCCAGCTATCACTTTTAGAACTAAATCCTTTTGGGGTGCCTGGGTGGCTCAGTCGGTTAAGTGGTTAAGTGTCAACTCTTTGATTTCTGCTCAGGTCATGATCTCACAGTTCCTGGGATTGAGCTTAGCATCTGGCTCAAGGAGCATTTGACAGCAAGGAGCCTGCTTGGGATCCTCTCTCTCCTTTGCTCTCTGCCCCCACCCCCACTCACACACATTCTCTATCTCTCAGGATGAATAAATAAACTTTAAAAAAAAAACTTAAAAGAAGTAAATATCTTTAGACAAATTTGATGAAATGGAAACTTTTATAGAGAATTATAAACCATCAAAATCTACTCAAGAATGTGTAGAAAGCATGAATAATATAATAGCCAGTTTAAAAGTTCAATAATTAAAAATCTCATCCCCAGGAGGTAAAAAGCATCTGGAGCCAGAGAGGCTTCCAGATGAAATTTTATCAAACTTTCAATGAACAAAATATCTTTCTTATACTAATTATTTTAGAGATTTTTTTTAATGTAAAGTTATCAAATTTATACTAAAAGGTTAAGAAAATTCTCACATAAAAACAAAATATGTAAAATACAAGTAATAAAAATCATAAGCCAAATTCAAAAATGGACATAGATGCAAAAATCCTAAGTAAAATATTAGTAAAAAGTGCAATGAAAGAAATGTGTAGATTTAAGTAACATTTATCAAAAAAATTCAACGTATGCTCAATATCATACAAATCTATCAATGTAACTGGGTACATAACAAATGTTAACTAAAGGACAGAAATCACAGTATCATCTGAACATATAACAAAAAATCATTTGAAAAATTCAGTAGTCTTTCAAGGGAGAAATAGAAGGGAACTTCTTTAACTAATAGGAAAGGTTATCTATTCAAAATATTGAGCCAACATTATACTTAATGGTAAAACTTTAGACATATTCTCATTGTTTAAGGAAAACATAAAAATGCCTGCTACTACTACCCTTATTTAACACTGAATAATACATGGGGCCCAAGCACTAAAACAAAAGAAGAAAGGGGGGAAAAAAACCTTAGGGATTAGAAACAAAGCAAGTAAATCATATATATAAATACTGTAATTGTCTTACACAGAAAATTAAAGAGACTCTATAGTCAAACACTAGAAATAATAAGAAAGTTTGACAGGATAGCTGATAATAAATTAGAAACATTCCATAAACCAACAATAACCAACTAGACATTGCAACAAAAGAAAATGTATCATTCACAATAGAAATAAAAATATAAGGTAACTAGAAATAAACCAAAAATATATAGTAAAAATTGCAAACATTTTATTCAAGTGTAAAAAAAAAATACAATTACTAATGAACCCATATTCATATAGAAGAAAACCCAGTATCATAATAATGATAAGAATCCTTTAAACTAATTCACAGATTCAATGTAAATACAATCAAAATTCAAGCAGGATGTGTGTGTGTGTGTGTGTGTGTGTGTGCACACGCGTGCACACTCTGTATGTAGACAAACTAGAGAATACAAGTCTAAGAACAGCAAAGACAACTTGGACAAGGAGAACAGATTGGGGGCATTTGCCCTATCAGATACCAATACTCATTATAAGCTAAAGTAATCGACAATGTGAATTAATGTAAGAATAGAAAAACAGATGAAGAAAAGAGAACAGGGATTCAAAAACAGACACAGGCACATGAGAGCCTTTGCTATTTGATAGTGGTGGCACTGCCAATCAGTAGGGAAAACACTGAAACAAATGGGGTTGGGGAACTGGTTTTCCCACCAGAAAAAAAAAAAAAAAAAAAAAAAGAAAGATTATATCCCTATCTCAGAGCATGATAAGATCAAAGATCAAAATATACAAGATAAAATAAAAGAAGCTATTTTTATTATCTCAGCATAGGAATAGATTTTTGAATTACAAAAACACAACTTATAGAAGAAAATATTGATAAATCTGAATATTCAATAAAAAATACTGTCAACAGGGGTACACCTGGCTGGCTCAGTCAAAAGAGCATCTGACTCTTGATCTCAGGGTTGTGTATTCAAGCCCCATCTTGGGTGTAGAGATCACTTAAAAATAAATTCTTAAAAAAACAAAAATAAAATATACTGTCAACAAAGCTTTAAAAATGCATTCACCAGGAAGAAGGGATATAAAGGATATATATCTAGGATACATACAGAATTCTTGAAATTCAATAAGAAGACAAGCCAATAGAAAATAACGAGTAAAGCATATTAAACTAGCGGATACTCTTAGTTGGAACTAACAACAACCAACCTCTGCTGATTTGAGAATAAATAAAATTCATTGCATGTCCTCTGGACAACTCCTCTAACCACCTGAATGCTGAGGGTGCACATTTAACACTCCTGATACTGAAGGCTAAAACTGCACCATACTAAAAATCACTGAATATATATGTGTAGAATTATATCTGGACTTTTTACTTGGTTCCATTGATTCCTACTTCTGTCCTTATGCTAGTGTCATAGTATCTTAATTATTACAGCTCTGTAAGACATCTAGAAATCAAGTGGTTTAAGTCTTTCAACGTTGTTCTTTTTCAAAACTGTTGCTATTCTTAAGGCATTTTTTAAAGTTTATTTATTTTTATTTTGAGAGACACAGAGACAGCGAGAATGGTGGAGGGGCAGAAAGAGAGGGACAGAGAGAATCCCAAGCAGGCTCTGTGCTACCAGCAGAGAGTCCGATGCAGGGCTCAAACCCACAAACCGTGAGATCATGACCTGAGCCGAAACCAAGAGTTGGATGCCTAACCGACTGAGCCACCCAGGTGCCCCCAAAATTGTTGCTATTATTTTTGGGGGGTAATTTAATGGTAATTAATTTCAAAAAGTAATTCTGAAATAGCATGGAAAGAAAAAGAAAATCCTTATGTCACATCATTTTAAAAAAAAGAAATGAAATAAATCAGAGATCTAAATCTAAAAACTAAACTGTAAATTTTAGAAATAAACAGGAGAGAATGTGATTTACAATTATGCAAATGTCTTAGTACACAAAAAACATGAAAGGTAAAATAAAAACTGATAAATTAAATTTCATCGAAATTCACTGTTTAATAATTTCTCAGGTTTCTCTTGATTTTATACAATCAGTAAATTTCCAAGTGTCATATATCATACCTTAATTTCACCTCTTTGATCCCAGTTCATTCATGTGGCTCATGATTTTGCTCAAGTTCCCTAATCTCTCTATGCTGCAGGCTCATCATCTATAGAACAGAAATACTAACAGTGCCTGTATCATAAGGATGTTATAATGATGGAGGGAGTTAAGATGGCAGAAAAGTAGGGGAACTGGGATTTTCCTCGTCCCTCAAACACAACTGTATCGAGGTCAGATCACTTAGAACATCCAAGAAATCAATCTGCAGAGTGGCAGAAGAATCTCTACAGTTGGAGGGAGACAGCTTGGCAGGATCGAGGTGTGTGTATGTGACTTGCGGGAGATAAAACAGCATAGGCACGAAGGGGAGGGAACCCCTTCTGTGGAGAGACAAAAGGGAGAGAAAGAGGGGTTATGAAAGGGTGG